TTGGAGAAGCGGAGCAAAGCCGGAGATTAGTAGCTGCCTCTTTCGGCTCAGAAAGCTTCCCCCAACCAGCTGGCTGGTCTCCTCCTCCTCGGCCATACAGAACAAACAGGCAGAGAAGGAGGAGAGCAGCTGGTCAGTTGGGGGAGGCTTCTTGTGCTGCGAAAGAGGCGGCTAATGATCTCCGGCTCCGCTCTGCTTCTCCAACATCCGGCGTCGCCCTGTTTTATGTGTCAGGCCCAGCAAGTCCGAGCAGCCGGCGCATAGAACAGGGTGGTGCCGGACCATTGGAGAAGCGGAGCAAAGCCGGAGATTAGTAGCTGCCTCTTTCGGCGCAGAAAGCTTCCCCCAACCAGCCGGCTGGTCTCCTCCTTCTCTGCCTGTTTGTTCTGTATGGCCAAGGAGGAGGAGACCAGCTGAGAAGCACGCTGCCAGGCGGGGGCCACGCGGCGCAGGGCAACACGCCATCGCCCAGCCCTGGCGAGGGAAAGCAGTGGGCGTTCCCCAGGCGGTGGCCTTGGCCCCGCTACCAGGGAAGCGGCTGCCCAGCTCCGTGTTGTGTGTGCAATTTTTTGGCGCGCGGCGCGGGGTCTCTTTTGGCCGGCCCCAATTTTTTTTTCAGAGGGGAATATTTTTTTTTCAGAGGCGGGCCGTATTAAAATGACCAACGGGCCGGATGTGTCCCGCGGGCCGTAGTTTGCCCACCCCTGCTGTAAGAAATCCTATCTAGAAAGTGCTGTAGCAGAGAGAAGCAGCCGGGTTGAATCTCCGGCATCTCAGATTTTGCAGCCACTTTTTCTGGCCCTTGGTGCTGGGTGAGCCTGTCACTTGTGGAAACGCTCCATGTGCTCTCCCAAGACACTGGCCCGACCCAGCTGCTTCTCTCCACTGCTGCTCTTGCTAACTGGGAGAGGGTGTTGTGCAGCACAGTGAAATTTAGCAGCTATGAGCCCCCGCTTTGGGTTCGGACCTGTAAGTCCCATCTGGAAAGCACTACGGCAGTGAAAAGCAGCCGGGTTGAATGCTGCTTCTCTCTGCTGCAGCACTTTCTGGATGGGACTTCCAAGACCCAAAGCAGCGACTCACAGCTGCTAAATTTCGCTGTGCTGTGCAAGATGCTCTCCACCGCACCAGAGAGAGCAGTGGCGGAGAAGCAGCCGGGTCTATTGTCTTGGGGTGGAGAGCACGTGGACCATCTCCCCAAGTGCCTGAGGCTCGCCCAGCACCAACAAGAAGCAGCTGCAAGGTCAAGCAACATCTTGCAGCTGTAGCTCTTTCCAGCCCTTGTTGGTGCTGGGTGAGCCTCGGGCGCTCAGGGAGACGCTCCACATGCTCTCCCAAGAAACTGGCCCGACCCGGCTGCTTCTCTCTCTGAAATGTTTTAAGAAAGCCAGTTTTCTGAAATTTAATTGTCATCACTCAAAGAAAAGATGTTTAGCCTGATAATGTCCTTTTGGTTTTGCTTTTTGGAGATGCATGTCTCAAGCAGGGCTTTCCACATGGTTTTTGACTTGGTTTGTTCTATCATTTCAGAAATAGAATGGATTTGTATAGAAAGATAAAAGCAATCATGAACAATGTTCAGAAACCAGCTGCATAACCTGAATAAACAAAACTAATTTTCCTTCCTGGCTAAAAATATTGAAAGAGTAAAACATTGAAAGAATAAAATGTCAGTCATCATTTACCTTTAACTGATTCCCAGGTTATTTGATAGCTTTCTAGTTTTGTGAATAAGTTATTTTTTAATAGTTTTCAGAAGTTTTCAGAAGCATTTCTCATAGTTTGAAAAGCACTTGGCTATGAATAGAAGAGTAAGAGGTATACTGTAATCTTTTTGCCAGGGTTCTAGAAAAACCCAAACTCCAATCAAAAACTCTGAGACAGGCATTTTCTGAAAGTTTCCTTTTATAATTGTAGGTATACTGACACATCTGGGAAAACCTGAATCTGAGTTCCGGGTTTTCTCTTAGTAATTCAAAATTCAAAACCCAACCCCTGCACCCATCAGTCCATCACATGGTTCAATCACCAACTGTCCCAACTTGAGACATCCCTTCAACCACTCCTCCTCCAGGTGCAGGAATAACATGACCTTGGCCTAAAAGAAGAATGCTATTATGTCTAACTACCAACGCTCTAAAATCCACCCCCCTACTTTCCCAGGCACAGGAATGTGGCAACGTGGAAGCTTCTGGTTCTAATATGGCTTCCAAAGCTGACACTTTTATTATCTAAATTCTGATTAAATTTCCATTTCATTCAAGAAACCTTTTTAGAATATGATAGGTAATAGGCATATACTTTGATCTGCCTCTTCATTTACTTATAGGGGCTTTTGTACTATATTGCATATTTGCAACAGCCTCTGTTACTGAACAAAGCTAGATTTGCTTCATTAACAAAAAACCATATATTAGAAGGGGTGTTTTGCTTGAAGCCTAAAGAAGCAAATTACCATGTTGATTGAAATCTAGCGAGCAATCACAGGGCACATCTGAATTGATGGAGCCTTTCAAATTTTCTGACACTGAGAGCAATCAACCAATGGAATAGAAGTTGCCTTCAGAAGCTGTGGGAGCTTCATCACTGGAAGCCTTCAAGAAGAGACTGGTCTGAACTTCCAGTTTGAGCTTCTTCAGTGACAGACCGAAACCTCGTCTCTGCCTCCCCAGGTCGATACGGAGTTCAGCTACATTGGCGAATCCGGCCGGATGACTTGCACAAAGATCGACGGTGTCACGTGGGCGCAACACCATGTTTCTCAGAAAACATGACCCACCCCAATAATAAGCCAATCCTAATTTTGGGGGTGGGTGGGCCTAATATTACCCCTACCCTGAAAATAAGCCCGGGGGATGGGCATGGCCGGCATTAGTGACGGCGCGGGGACGAGGACGGAGAGGCAACTGTCCAGCTGCAGAGAGGGGCGAAAGTCATTCCGCACTGAAGCAGAGGCATTCCAAGCCTTCAGCGTACCCCAGGATTGCAACGCTGAAGGTTTGGAATGGAGCTGTTTTCGTGAAAGGCAGGAAAATGGGGAGATTTTTCTGCCTGTTAGCCATTCCTCTTGGAGCAGGACCCTGCAAGGCTTCTTGTGGCGTTGCACTCATGAATGGCAGCACTCTGTAAGCTTTATCACACCGGTGCAGTTGGCATCCTGCCGTGAGTGGCTGCGCCAGTGTATCCAAACTTGCGGCAGTGCCGGCACTCGCAAGTGTAACAGCACAGCAATCCTTGCAGGGTCCTGCTCGAAAAGGCTGCACCAATGTGACAAAACTCACAGAAATGCCTCCGCTCGCATGCGCAATGCTACAACAAGTCTTGCAGGATCCTGGGATATGCTGAAGGCTTGGAGTGGAGCCATTTTTGGAAACTTGAGGGAGCTTAAGGAATGGATGACAGGCAGAAAAATCCCCCCTCCCCATTTTCCTCCTGTTCACCAAAAAGCCTCCATTCCGAAAGTTGAAGTTTCAGAATGAAAGCTTTATGGAGAACGGGAGGAAAATGGGGAGGGAGAATTTTCCTGCCTGCCATTCTCCCCTCAGTCTGTACTAAGCTTAAGGAATAGATGACAAGCAGGAAAATCCCCCCTCCCCATTTTCCTCCCGTTCACCAAAAAGCCTCCATTCCGAACGCTGAAGTTTTGGAACTGAGGCTTTTTGGAAAACAATAGGAAAATGGGGAGGGATAATTTCCCTGCCTGCCATTCTCTTCCCTCAGTCTGCACTAAGCTTGAGAAAGAGTTCTTTTCGGTCCTACGGAAGCATGGGGTGTTTCTTTTGGCCACAATAGAAGCAGCCTGGTGGCTAGGTGAGACTCGTAGAGGAAAACTTAAGACACCTCCTCAAAAAGATGGCCTAGCCATTTTTTCGGGGGTCTAAAGAAAATAAAGCCCTGTCTTATTTTCCAAGAAACACAGCATTTCCAGATTGAGACAGCAGAGAAAAATAAAGAGGTACAACAAGCTTCTCTAAGAAAAAAAAAATGAAAGAACATTTTTCATCAAAAGCTCTTAACATTTGCACAGAGAACTTAAAACAATGTGATGAGCAGGATGCAATAACAAAATAGATAAGATGACTGAAAAATATTTAGGTACTACTTGTGGAATATTCAATACAGTTTACAGCCTGGTCCAAAGATTTTCAGACATAGAAGACATGGAAGTGCAAATTAAAAATGAAGTAGATATGGGAATAAGATTCATTCACTAAAACTGCAGTGAAAATAGTTGATTTCATTGCAAAAGAAATTCAATTTTTTTACTAAAATTATTGAAAATAATCTGAAAATGTTTGATTATTGATGAAGCCTCAACAATATCTTGCAAACCAGTTGTGATAACTTTTCTTAAAAGTTGAGGATTCAGTTACTTCATCAACAATTCTTATTGAGCTAGTGCAATTGGAAAAACAAGACAATATGTTCTTCAGTTATGGAAAGTTTAAATAATGTTGGGTTTACTAAGAACTACCTAGAAAAAAATTTAATAGGATTTTGCTCCAATGGTGCCAGCTTATGCTTGGGAGAAAATCTGGAGTGAGCACTAGAATAGCAAAAATCCCAAATATCATAATATGGCACTGCTTAAACCATTGCCTCCAATTTGTTTTAGATTATTCAATAAAGGAAATAAAGCAAGTAAATCATTTAAAAATATTTACTGATAAGATATATACAATCCAATAAGAACCAAACTGAACTTACCAAAATATCCAAATAATTTGGAACTGAAATTTAAAGATTGGAAAGAGTTTTGGAAGCAAGATGGGCTGCCTGTAGTTTAAGGTTAACTCTAGCTGTGTGGCGTGCTTATCCAGTGCTATATTACTATTTTCACTGAAATCAAAAGTACTTAGGTATGGCTGCCCGTCCTGAAAATATATGACTGGTTTGGCATTGATTATTGATATTCTAAACGAAATTTTTCTTCTTTCAAATGCGCTTTAAGCAAGAAATGTAGACATCATAAAGGCTGAAAAATTTGTAATAAGATCAATTAAAGTTTTTGAAATGCTTAGAAAGTAAAAGTGTACATTCAAAAAAAAGTGGATGGATTACTTCAGAAACCTTCAAAAATATAAAATTTGTATCAACAAATCATTGATTTGTTGCGCTTCCTCAGGAAAGACTTTTAGAAAGCATCGCAACAAATTTGAATAAAAGACTAATGCATTGTGAACATTTAAAAACAGATAGCCAATTTCAAGACACGAATAAATTAAAATTTCTCATTTTTTGGAGCCAGATTACTGGAATATTGAAGAATAGTTCCACGGAAAGCAGCTGAAGAACAATTGCTTGTATTTAGTGACATTTTTAATTACCAAATTAATATGAACGATTATCAAGATTTCATAGAAAATGTTTTTAAAAATTCTCAGAAATATGCAATTCCTGACAGTATTCAAAAAGCTAAAGGGGACTTCCAGTTTGGGCTCCTTCAGCGATGGACCGAAATAGCGATCATCTGCGGTTTTGATCCGTGCTCGCTGCTGGAGTGCCCCGAGCTGCCCGGATTCGGGGCTGAAGCCACCCCGTAGAGGTGGTGAAGAAGGGGGAGCCATCAGCGGGGTTGAGGAGAACCGCATCTCTCCTCCTCAGCTGGCCATTACTCCCTTTCCCAAAGGCGGTTGCAGCGGTGGTCAGAAATGGCCACCTCAAAGAAGAACCCGACTGGACAAGATTGTGCAGGAGGGAAGTTTAAAGGAGAAAGTTTGACTGACCGGGTTGAATGGAGAGCATCTATTTAAGGTACCTGGAACCTGAATTTTAAAGACTAATACTATTCCTAAAAAAGATTTTAAGCTGTGAAAGAGAAAGGGAAAGGAAACGGAATTGGCTTTTTTTCCTCTAACATCGACAGTTTTAACTGACTTGGAACATTGAGAAGAAGAGATTCGAATAAGAAATTGATACTAATCCACTTTGACATTAATAGGCTATTTCTAGCTGAAAATAAAGTGTCAAAGGGATAAAGATTCTTGGATAATTTAAAAACTTTCTTTAAAAAAAGAAAGAAAGCAGCGGAGGGAAAAAGGAAAAAAGAGGGTGGAATCTGGAAAATGGAGGAGACCACCTGGAACTTAAAAAAAATTGATAGTGGAATTTTAACAAGGCTTGCAAAAGATACATTGTACCTGAAACCTTGTTATAAGATAACAAAGCCCCCGGAAAGAGAAAGTGAGAAAAGAAGCAAGAAACAGTTTTGGATTATTGGATGATTCCTGGAACTTTGGATGGGGATCCTAATGAAATAAAATAAAATCAATTGGGGGTTGTTTAAAATGTTTTAAAATGGCATCACTCCTTGAAGAGTTAAAAATGAGACTTAAAGAACAAAAAGAAGAAGCAGAAGACGGAAGAGGATCTTTTGGCTTCGTATTTCAATTTTTAGATCTTGAAGTGTGAAAAACAACAAGAAACGCTGGTAGAACAAGAAGGGCAGGACAACGAAGAAGCCATCTTTAATGACCAAGCAATTTTAAGTGGGGTAAAAAAGGGAAAGGGGGGGAGGGAGTTAAAAACTTAACCACTGAAGCAACAACCAAAAAAAAAGAGTAATTTGAAAAGTAATCATAATATCAGGAAGAAGCAGAAGGGAGGATCACAGAAGGGAGAATCAGATAGAAAAGGGAATAAAAAGGGGAGGGAGAAGAAGAGAGGGAAGAGGGAAAGGAAAAGAAGCTACAAAAGACAGAAACAAGATATAGAGGTACAAGAAAAACGTACAAGAATTAAAGGTATAAACCTATTTAAAAGACATACAGACAATGGTTAAAATTTAACTTAAGGAGAGGATTCTGTAAGGGTGCATGTGATAGCATTGTTATATTAGAAATGGAAATGGGTTAGAAAATATGTTAGATGATTAAAGTGATAGAAAAAATTTATATTGATGTGTAGTGGAATATTTGTTTGTAAAGAGAATAAGGCTCTCAATGATTTAAAAAGAATGTTTAAAAAAACTCAGAAGAAACATGGAAGATTTTTATCAGTTGACAAGATGAACTTGAATAAGAATAATAACTTTATTGACTACTGTTAATAACTATTGTTTGGTTTTTTATTTAAAGACAGTAATAAGTAAAATATGAAATATAGATGATTAAAGTGAAAGACAACTAATATTACTAGGTAATGTTTGTTAAAAGAAATAGAAATGTAAAAGATTGTTATTAATATTAATGGCAGAGCTGTACTTGAATAGAATAATTATTCCATTTACTATTGTTATACATATATACACAGATATATATACATATATACTTTTTTCTTTTAAGAATTTAGTGTGTATTTTAAGGGAATGTACCAAGCAGAATTCGACTGAAAATAGGTATGTGTTATAAAATAGAGGTTAGAAAATGAATGTTATAACTGTAAATATGTAACTTAAATTTTTAAATAAGATTTGAAAAAAGATACAAAGGTGTTACACTCCAGTCTAGTAATTACAGCGGAAAATTTGTTTTATGTGAAAAGATAATATGAAATTGTAAACAGGACAGACGAAAGTATAAAAACATTGATTAGAAAGATTTTAAAAATTAGAAAAAGATATGTAATTGAATTAAGGAATGAGATAATTTAAAATAAGGCTATAGGAAATAAAGGGAAAGCTATTGAAAAAATTACGAAAATAGTTCTAAGATATGGATTAGAATGTATAAGATAAATATGTATTGAGTTTATGTCTGTATGGAGAAGTGATAACCCGGGGCCACGCTGTTCTCAAAAAAAGATATTTTATTTGTATTTGTATGTTTTGTGAAAACTTAAATAAAACTTTTTATCAAAAAGCTAAAGAGATCGTCAGAACATGCTGTAAGTTCAGCAGAAGCAGAAAGGGGTTTTTCACAAATGAACATCATATGTTCAGAGAAGAGAATTCGCCTGTTTCCAATATAACTAACTTAATGACTATTAGTCTAATTGGCCTACCTCTACATGAATGGGACCCTATTCCTACAGTCAAAATGGTTAATCAACCAATGGAACAGCTTGCCCTTGGAAATTGTGGGAGCGCCATCACTTGAGACTTTCAAGAAGAAATTGGACTGCCATTTGTCAAAAATGGTATAGGGTCTCCCGCTTGGGCAGGAGGTTGGACTAGATGACCTTCCAACTCTGCTGATCTGTTAACAGTACATCACACAGCCAATGATGCTAGAGTAAAACTGAAGAAAAGTACAAGTGAGAACGCCAATAAAACAGCAATTTGGATAACAGTTTTAAATAAGTTTTATTGTTTTTTGTCAAGTATTATCTAATAGTTTTTAATAAATACTTTAAAACTCTTGTAACAATATCTAGTTTTGTGTACCTTTTTATTCTTATTTAAGTATTAAATGCATGAAATAATAAACTAGATTTTGGTATATCTTTTTTTAAACTTAAAACAGTCATTAGGGCAAAGAACTGATATCGAGTTGGCCACGCCCACCCAGCCACATGACCATCCAGCCGATTGTTAAATTATTTGAATCCCATCACTGGATAGAATCAAGATCACATGAAGTGTTAACACCGCTTTATAATGTCTTGGTAAAATTACATCTGGAATACTACATCCAGTTTTGATCGCCACAATGTAAAAAAGATGTTGAGACTCTAGAAAGAATACAGAGATGAGCAACAAAGATGATTTAGTAGACTGGAGGCTAAAACATATAAAGAACAGTTGCAGAAAGTGGGTATGTCTATAGTCTACTGAAAAGAAGAACTAGAGGTGACACGATAGCAATGTTCCAATATTTGAAGGGCTGCCAACAAAGAAGAGGGGGTCATCCTATTCTCCAAAGCAACTGAAGGCGGGACAAAAAGCAATGCATGGAAACTAAAATCAATCAGAATAGTGCTGGAAGGGACCTCCTGCTCAAACAGGATGCGCTATATTATTCAGGTAAGTGACTTTTCTTAAAAACCTCCAGTAATGATGCACCAACAACTTAGGATGGTAAGCTGTTCCACTGGTTAATTGTCTACACCAGGGGTCCTCAACCACCGGGCCGTGGACCGGTACCGGGCCGTGGAGCACTCTTTACCGGGCCGCAAAGAAAATAAAATTTAAAAAAAATGGCGGCTTTCTTCACCTTCGGTGAATGCTGCTGGGATCGGGGATCAAGGACACAAATGAAAGAAGGGGAGGGAGGAAGCAACCGAAGCCTGTCCTTCTCTCTGGGTCAGCTCTCTCAGTCGCTCTCTCGCTCCTCCACCAGCACAGGAAGAAACTGCTTCAAAGAAGCGGGGGTGGGGGGGGCTTTTCCTGTCGCCGCAGCTTCCCCGAAGCGCCCGTTTCTCCCCCACCCCCACCCCGTCCGCCCGCCCGCCCGCAGTGCTCCGTTCTGCCTGCCTGCCTGCCTTCGTTAATGGTTGAATCGGAACAGCTTCGGCTGAGTAAAAGAGGCGAATAGTTATTATTCTCAGCCGAAGCTGCTCCCAAACAACCAGAAACTAAGGCAGGCAGGCAGGCAGGCAGAACGGGACACTGTGGATTGAAGCGCGCGCGCGCGCGGGCGGGGTGGGAGTGGGGGTGAAACGGGCGCTTCGGAATAGCTGCGGCGACAGGAAAAGCCCCCCCCGCTTCTTTGAAGCAGTTTCTTCCTTGGATGGTGGAGCAGCGAGAGAGCGAAGCCTCCTTTTCTTCTCCCCCCCCCCCCCCCCCCCCCCCCCCCCCCCCCCCCCCCCCCCCCCCGCCCACAAAAGGTTGGGGACCACTGGTCTACACTGTTAGTAAGTTTCTCCTTAATTCCAGGTTGCATCTCTCCTTGATTAGTTTCCATTGTTTCTTGTCCTGCCCTCTGATGTTTTTGAAAATAAATTGACTGCCTTCTCTTTATGGCAACCTCTCAAATACTGAATTACTGCTATCATGTACCCCTAATCATTCTTTTAGCCAAACCCAAATCCCATAACTGTTCTTCATATGTTTTAGTTTACAGGCCTCAAATCATCTTTGTTGCTCTTCTTTGCACTTTTCCCAGTCTCAACATCTTTTTTGTAATGTAGTGACCAAAACTGGATGCAGTATGTGGCCTTACTAAGGCTTTATAAAGCGCTACTTATACTTCAACGTGATTCTGATTCTATTCCTCTGTTTATACAACCAAGGATTGTATAAGCTTTTTTGGCTGCTGCCACACACTGCTGATTCATGCTTAAATGATCGCCCAGTAGGATTCCAAGGTCCCTTTCACAGTTACTGCTTTTGAGCCAGGTTTCACCTAATCTGTACTTCTACCTTTGATTTTCCTGCCCATACAGGTGAACCTTGAAAAATTAGAATATCGTGCGAAAGTTCATTTATTTCAGTAATGCAACTTAAAAGGTGAAACTAATATATGAGATAGACATGCAAAGCAAGATAGATCAAGCCGTGATGATTGAGATGATTATGGCGTACAGTTCATGAAAACCCCAAATCCACAATCTCAGAAAATTAGAATATTGTGAAAAGGTTCAATATTCTAGGCTCAAAGCTTATCAGCTAATTAAGCCATAACACCTGCAAAGGGTTCCTGGGTCTTTAAATGGTCTCTCAGTCTGGTTCAGTAGGAAGCACAATCATGGGAAAGACTGCTGACCTGACAGTTGTGCAGAAAACCATCACTGACACCCTCCATAAGGAGGGAAAGCCTCAAAAGGTAATTGCAAAAGAAGCTGGATGTTCCCAAAGTGCTGTATCAAAGCACATTAATAGAAAGTTATGTGGAAGGGAAAAGTATGGAAGAAAAAGGTGCACAAGCAGCAGGGATGACTGCAGCTTGGAGAGGATTGTCAGGAAAAGGCCATTCAAAAGTGTTGGGGACTTTCACAAGGAGTGGACTGAGGGCTGGAGTCAGTGCATCAAGAGCCAGCACACACAGACGGATCCTGGACATGGGCTTCAAATGTCGTATTCCTCTTGTCAAGCTGCTCCTGAACAATGTCAGAAGCGTCTTACCTGGCCTAAAGAAAAACAGAAATGGTCTGTTGCTCAGTGGTCCAAAGTCCTCTTTTCTGATGAGAGCAACTTTTGCATCTCTTTTGGAAACCAAGGACCCAGAGTCTGGAGGAAGAATGGAGAGGCACATACTGCAAGATGCTTGAAGTCCAGTGTGAAGTTTCCGCAGTCTGTTGATTTGGGGAGCCATGTCATCTGCTGGTGTTGGTCCACTGTGCTTCATTAAGTCCAGGGTCAACGCAGCTGTCTACCAGGAGATTTTGGAGCACTTCATGCTTCCTTCCGCAAATGAGCTTTATGGGGATGCTGACTTCATTTTCCAACAGGACTTGGCACCTGCCCACACTGCCAAAAGCACCAAAATCTGGTTCAATGACCGTGGGATTACTGTGCTTGATTGGCCAGCAAACTCGCCTGACCTGAACCCCATAGAGAATCTATGGGGCATTGCCAAGAGAAAGATGAAAAACATGAGACCGAACAATGCAGAAGAGCTGAAGGCTGCTATTGAAGCATCCTGGTCTTCTATAACACCTCAGCAGTGCCACAGGCTGATAGCTTCCATGCCATGCCGCATTGAGGCAGTAACTGCTGCAAAAGGGGCCCAAACCAAGTACTGAGTACATATACATGCTTGTACTTTTCAGAGGTCCGATATTGTTCTATGTACAATCCTTGTTTTATTGATTGCATGTAATATTCTAATTTTCTGAGATTGTGGAGTTGGGGTTTTCATGAGCTGTAAGCCATCATCATCACAATTATGACAAATCACGGCTTGAACTATCTTGCTTTGCATGTAATGAGTCTATCTCATATATTAGTTTCACCTTTTAAGTTGCATTACTGAAATAAATGAACTTTTGCATGATATTCTAATTTTTTGAGTTTCACCTGTATATTAAACTTTGTATTTCTCCACATTAAATTTCATACTGTTGGATAGGGCCCATTGTTCAAGTCTGCCAAGATATTTTTGGATTCTGAGCTTGTATTCTGGGGTTTCTGTCAGCTTAGTGTCATCTGCAAATTGATGAATTATCCTTCTACTCTAAAGCAATATACACTAAGGAGAAATTTTCTGACAGTTAGAACAATTAATCAGTGGAATAACTTGCCTCCCGAAGTTGCGGGTGCTCCCACACTGGACATTTTTAAGAGACTGAACAATTATTTGTTTGAAATGATACAGGGCAGTGGTGGCCAACCAATTCGACACCAAATGCCGAAATGGGAGCCCGCTAGGGGTGGGATTCAAATTTCTTAAAAACCGGTTCTGCAGGTGTGGCCTAATTTGTGGGTATGGCTTGGTGGTCATGTGACTGGATGGGCATGCTTGTATGTAAATATTATAAATATTTATATAAATATTGATTTTTTTTATTAAAAAAGAGCAACTTTTACCCAAAATCAGGCAAAGCAGGCAGAAAGATTGAGTTGCTCACAGAATCACAGATTCACTTAGAGATCTGTGTTTCTGCCATCGCCTACCTGAGTCTGTCACATAAAATTTGCTTGCAAGCAAACTCATAAAATTTGCTAGCAAGCAAACTCACAAAATTAACTCACCATGTGTCAGCTTTAAAATTCAGCTGCCACATATTTTTTTTAGAGTTAGAGGAGTTGAAAAGTTCAAGGTTATTCTGTGTGTCGTATTAAGAATTTCCAGTTGTAGTTATTTGGTTATTCCAGTTGTAGTTATTTGATTTATGAAGTGTAGAAGTGGGAGGAGAGAAGGTGGATTCTGTGTAACACACCAAAAAACTTTCACTTGGGAACTTGTTTTTGACATGCCAGATCTGTTCCTAATAAATCAATTGGAGAGATAACGTTTCGGAGTGATTGATATCATGGATACTTTCTGGATGCTTGACATTTATTTCCCAAGTCACACTTTTATTTTTTGAATGGGCTTGGCTGATGCCCCGGAGTTCTTTTCCCAGAAATGGACAAAGAGCAGCAATCAGCCGAAGTTGGAGGTGTGCAGGGGGGAGCGTGTGGGGGCCCTCCCTCTGGACCATTAATTGAACCTGCCAGCCCTTGTTTGGAGGAGATGATGCTTTCAGGATGGCAGTAGGAGATTTGGGAGCTATACCGAAGCGTTTCAACTCAAGAAGTTGTTATAACCCAGAGGTAAGCCAGCTCTCTGAAGAGAAATCTTTCTCTAGCCCCAGGCATATGGCTATTCTGTCGGATTGGAGGGAAGAGAGACAATTGGGGTCAGATTTCTCTCAAGAAGACAACCCCCAGATTATTCCTGGAAGTCCATCAAGGGCAAATTTACATCAACAGTTCCAGAATTTAAAGGTGACAGATTGGGTCTCACAGTCTGTTTGGACGGGTGGAAGCTGGAGACCACCCATATTCACTTACCGAAATATCATGAGGAATGAGGAGACTATACAGATTCCAGTCAGAGGAAGCCAGAAAGAAGCATCAACTAACAGAGGTATGTTGCAGCCTCAGAGGCAATTCCCTCATTTTCCAGAAGGAATTTTTCCTCCTACAGAGAGTGTCCCTCCAGGGTGGGAATTTTATCCAGGCCAGGGGTGGATTCAATGCTAATGGCAGTCAGCACCAACACAGCCCTGGTCTGAAGGGGGGTTGCCCAGACAGCAGCCACACCCCCTCCACTTGACCATGGAACCAGGCCATCTTCCTCTTGGCAACCACAATTGCAGCCCCAACCAGAAGCGAGGCTACAGGGACCCCTATTCCAGAGAGGCACCACCCAGCCAGGGTTCAGG